AATATTAAGACTGGGTAATTAACCGCAAAAGATGAGGAGTAGTAATATTCATCAGCCTGCCATTTGGAGCTTGTTTTGACAAGAATATTTTGTTCCTGGCTTTTTTTGCGATGTATATGACTTAAGAAGAAATCACTGGTAATCAGAAAGAAATAGAAATACTAAATAGATTCGCACTGTGACTGTAACTCCTGGTACTGTTTTGACACAAATAACTTGATTTAATCTTTTTAAAAGTGTCTACAGCATAAAGAAAATGCAGAACCCATATCTGTACACTGATTTCTTGCAGGCTAGTAGTCTCAAGACAGATACGAATCCTTTTTTAAAGAATCAATATTTTCAAAGTTATTCCTCTCCAGCAGTCTGACAACTGGTCATTCAGAAGTCTTTTAAATTTACATTAAAAGTGAGAAATTTCTTCTTTGGAAAAATAGCTTCATAGATTTGAATATAATGCCTTACAATTTTGAGTTTCCTTTTAATAAACCATAGAAAATCACCTTTGGAAACTCTACAGAGTCAACACCGTAGAATTTTATGCTGTATTGTCATTTCAGAACTCCGCTGTTACATATCAACTTATTTCACTGATATTTAGAAGCAGTGCTGACGTTTTTAGAGACAATGATCATATATGACTCCTTATACATATAGCAAATGGAGCTCAGTTGACGCGAATCTCTCACAATTTGTGGGGAGAGGAGCAGCGGACCAGGCTGCGCCCTCACCTGTGTGGGCAGAGTCAGGTCCGAGACTTGGGCCATCTGAAGTGCCAGGTCAGAGTCTAACTGCCTCTGAGACTTTGGGTGTTGCTCGAACTCTAAGGTGCTGAGGGGAGCCGGGTGCGGTGGCTCACACCTGCAATCTTCTGTAGCACTCTGGGAGGCCAAGGCGGGAGGATGGCTCGAGGTCAGGAGTTCGAAACCAGCCTGAGCAAGATTGAGACCCTGTCTCTACTAAAAATAGAAAGAAATTAATTGGCCAACTAAAAATATATAGAAAAAATGAGCCAGGCATGGTGGCACATGCCTGTAGTCCCAGCTACTCGGGAGGCTGAGGCAGGAGGATTGCTTGAGCCCAGGAGTTTGAGGTTGCTGTGAGCTAGGCTGACGCCACGGCACTCTAGCCCGGGCAACACAGTGAGACTCTGTCTCAAAAAATAAAAAAAATAAAGTGCTGAGGGGGAGGCGTAAATGCTGACGGAGCCGGTTCCCGGCAAGAACAGCCCAAGGTACTTGCTCCGGGTCCCAGGGCGGTCTCCATCCTGCCAAGACGTCCATCGCGGTGGCTCTGACGCCACAGCTCGCTGTAAACATCTGCGATTCTGCCCGTATCTGGGTGGTGAAATCATGTGAGAAACTTTGAAAGTGCAAAGCTCCCTCCAGCCTATTGAAAACTGGAAGACTGAATTCTAGAATATCCCATACGTTTTTCAACTTTCTGGCAGGGAAAAGGTGCATGTATTTTATATGAAGGCATTGGGCATCACTAGGCTTCAGGCATTCGGGAACCAAATGTGGGACTTTTTTTCAAAATGATGCACTTCAGGATGTCATCAAGTACTAGAGGGATCTTTTGAAAGAAAAACAGAAGAAAAAAGATGCAGCTGCTCCCATGAAGAGCAAATAAGTCCCTGCCATGAAGACTGGGCTGGACTCCTCTGCAAGACAAGTATGGCTGAAAAAAAATTGAGATTGAGTACTAGAGAAAGCATCAAAACAAATATTTCTCTGACAAAACCCAGATAAAGTTTAGTGGACATTTTTATCCATAAATCTTTGTTTTTTACCTGGCTCAGAAAAGGCTTTAATATAAGTTTCTGGTCAGCGATAAATGTTTCTTCAAGCTAATTTAAAAGTAAGAATTTTTTTTTTTTTGGATGTTAGAGCTTGGATAACTTATTTGATTAAAGTCTTAAAGGTCCTATTCCCTGAGCATGGGGGCATATTCTGAATGATGTTTTCAGCAGTAGTATCTATACACCATCTGTAGAGCTTATGGTTATAAACTACTGAGATAGTTCTTAATCTTGTAGGAAAAGCAAGGTTATTATTTTAGCAACATAAGCATGTGTCTCCAAAGGAAAAATAAATCTTTTATAATAAACTTTTCTGTACGATCAGAAGATAATTTATCCTCAAGATGAATATAGCCAGTGGCCAACTGAGGATGGCTGAACTTACGTTTTTCCAATTTTAGGATGATGTGGAAGTGATGCACATTCACTAGAAACCATACTTTGATTACCCATGCGACCATTTTGCTCTTTCAATACAGTGTTCAATAAATTACATGAGATATTCATGTTTATTTATTTATTTATTTATTTAATTTATTTTTTTGAGACAGAGTCCCACTCTGTTGCCCGGGCTAGAGTGCTGTGGTGTCAGCCTAGCTCACAGCAACCTCAAACTCCTGGGCTCAAGCGATCCTCCTGCCTCAGCCTCCCGAATAGCTGGGACTACAGGCATGCGCCACCATGCCCGGCTAACTTTTTCTATATAGACACAGGGTCTCGCTCTTGCTCAGACTGGTCTCAAACTCCCAAGCTCAGGGTATCCTCCTGCCTTGGCCTCTCAGAGTGCTAGGATTGCAGGCGTGAGCCACTGCGCCTGGCCAAGGCTTTAGTTTAAAACAGGCTCCATGTTAGATGATTTTGCTCGCTGTAGGCTAACGTAAGTGCTCTGAACACACTGAAGACAGGCTGGGCTAAGCTGAGATGTTGGGTAGTTCAGGTGTATTAAGTGCATTTCAACCTAATGTATTTTAAATGTGCAACAGGTTTATTGGGGCGCAGCCCCATGTGCTAAATCGAGGAGCAGCTGTGGTTCCCTGGGCCACCTCTTTGCCTGTGCTTTTATCATCCCCAGCAAATGTGTGTGTTTGAAAGTTGACTCTAAAAGCATTGCAAGGAAGACACCAACTCTCCCAGTTCTGAGTCTGGTGAAAGCCTTTACCACCGGCTGGCAAGTGTAAATGATGCTAGGCACGTAGTATGCAGGTTCAAAAATTTAACAAATCATCCAGTTCTTTTAATGTCATTTACACCGAGATTTAACAATCAAATCCAGGATTCTAGACATCTCTACTTGCAGAATACATATTCACACAACAGACATTTTTATCAATCTGGAAAAATCCAGATTGAAAAATTAGCAGTGCAGGACACAGCGGGTGTGAATTTCTCAGGGGACGATAGGTCACGGTGGTCTCTCAGATGCTGCTCAGAGAGTCCCACCGTCCCCTGGGCCTGGGGTCAGTCTCAGCCCTGCTCTGCGTGGACAGCACCTGGAGATCCCCATGAGCACCTGAGCCCTCAAAGAGGGGTTTGTACTTACCTGGGATCCTGTTACCGTGGTTCTGATAATAGAGACAGACGCTGAACTCTCTGGGTCTGTGTTGTTTACACCTGATTTTGTCTGGCTAAGGCCAGCGTCTCGTTATTCTGCTCTGGTCCGGGCATGGTTGTGCTCATTCCCGGGCGGGACTGCCTTCCAAAGCATCGTTCAGATCCTGCCACTTCCAAACCCCCGAATCCAGTAAAACTACAGTGATGAAAACAAGAACAGAGACTCCTGTTTCTTTCTCCCCTCTGGACAAGGAGGAGCAAAGGCTGGCCAATCTGTAAGGCCTTTGGTGACACTGATGTGCAGTGGATTTTGTCATAGGGACATGATAGTTGAACATTCTTCCTTCTCCCTGGCTGTGGGTGCACGAACAGTCGGAGTAGGACAGTCACCCACTTGGGTGGCCCCGAAACCGTGGGTGACTAAGACCCTTCCCTTCACTCCTGCCTCCCATTTCTGGCAGTTTAGAATGTCCCTTGGTTTTGCACCAGCACCGACGCCCTCTTCTGCTCTTACATTCTGGGCGTCTTAAATTAAAACCATTTGTATTTCTGAAACAGATCAGGGTCATTATATAGGTCTGATAGCCAGTAAAGACTTATGCTTTATAGAAGGAAACTTTATAGAAGGAAATTTTCTTGACGACTGGGTCCAAATAACCAAGCACGTGCTCTTTCCTCTGCTCTGCACAAAGTTGCAAAACCCGAGCTTGATTATTTAGAGATCATCGGGGTAAAATTGTATTGTGAATTTGGGGATGTGTTTTCCTCAACAGGCAGCATCTGGAAATTGCAAGTTGGCAGGCAGATTTGGCAAGAGTCACACATTCATTTCAAATTTTACTTTTTTGTGTGAGAAAAGGAACAATTTAAAGTTAGGTGGAAATAAGACGTAAATAGCCCTTGTGGCCCCTCCAGATTCTAGCCCTCATTTTAAAAAAATCATCAAAATCTGCATCACAATAAGAAGAGAAATACTTATTGTAAGATTGTCTTCAAAGATGGCTCTAAAATATTGCCTCCCGTAAAAGCAATATGCAGTGCTGCAGAATCTAAATCTTCATTTCCGTCATCGATTTCTGTGCATTTAAGAGCTTATACTGATGAGGCCGTTACGATGACTCACCTCTGGCGTTTCTGATGTGCACGGAGTCGCTGGAGAGCCTGGGACCCGTGTGCCGGCAGGAGTGTGGCCGGCTGCAGTCCACCAGCCCCCAGGCTTCCGTGGGCGGAACCACTTTCCAGACTTCCCAGGAGGCTGAGACGGCGCAGGTGGCGGCGTGGTCTGGAGGCGGCGGTCTGGCAGGACGGCGTGCGGGCGTTCTCTCTCGAGGGCGGGCTGCCACGACACGCGGGGCCTCCGCGGGCAGACGCAGCAGCGGGCCCCGCACGTGCGCAGCGGGGACTGGGGAAAGAAGACTATATACATGGAGAGGAGCAATGAGGTTGTCGAAGCTCAAGGCATCGCACGTGGTTGACAAAGAAACCCAACGGAGACCCCGATTTCTTCTCCCTCTCGTAGATTCCCAGTCTTTTCTTTTCTTCCCAACCTGCAAGGAACATGGAGCAACCGGGTCCATCCCACCGCTGTTTGAAGCCGGGTGCGCGTTCCGCCTTGGGTTCCGCTCATTCTCTCCTCTGTCTCTTGCAGGCTTTGATCTGGTCAAATGCGAGGATCCCGGCATCCCCAGCTACGGCTACAGGGTCCGCGACGAAGGCCACTTCACGGACACAGCCGTCCAGTACAGCTGCAACCCGGGCTACGCCATGCACGGCGGCAGCACCCTCACCTGTCTGAGCGGGGACCGGCGGGTGTGGGACCGGCCGCTGCCTTCCTGCGTAGGTGAGCAGCCCCGCGGCCGCCGGCGCACAGCGGCAGGGCGTGGCTCTCTCCATCCCGGCGGGTTTCACCTCTTCCCAGCCTGGGCGTGGTGCGTTCCTAGGCCACGTATGCGGCGGAGGGCGGGGGCTTTCAGCTGTGACCCACAGACTTGCCAGTGCGGTTCTATGGAGAAAGCATGCGCAGAGCGATCACCGTGTTTCCCAGAAAATAAGACAGGGTCTTGTATTTATGTTTCCTCAAGAAGACACCCTAGGGCTTATTTTCAGGGGATGTGTGTTTTTTTTTTTTTTTTTAAGTACGGTACAACTATCTGCATTTATTCAAATATAGTTACGTCGCCTTCTTCGGGAACATCATCATAACTCTCCAAACCCTGAATTCCATCCTGAATGTCTTGCGACTCTATTTCCTTTAGAACCACTGGCCCCGATCTCTCATGTGGAGCAATAGAGCTCTCGCGGGGCAGATGGGAAGGGCTGCTCGTCTTCTTTCCCGCTCGGAGACAACATGCATGGGTTGTGTAGACGCGCTGTGTAGCCACGGCCATCGCTAGGGCTTATTTTCGGGGTAGGGCTTCTATTGTGCAAATGCTTAGAAATCCTGCTAGGGTTTATTTTATGGGCAGGTCTTATTTTTGGAGAAACACAGAATTAGAATTATCACATGAGCATTTGATTGTTTTATACTCATGAACATTTTCCGTTGAGATCATGACTGGGGAGAAGCACAGGAGAGAAGTGGTAGAGAGAGGGTAACTGTGATCTTTCTCTCTAGGCAGAATGCAGACGTGATCGCTTTGCTCTCTGACAGCAGCTAAATAGCAACGCGCGAGCCCGGAGCTGACATTCTCGCTCTCTGTGTCTCTTGCAGCGGAATGTGGCGGGCGGATCCACGCTGCCACATCAGGACGCATACTGTCCCCTGGCTACCCGGCTCCTTACGACAACAACCTCCACTGCACGTGGGTTATAGAGGCAGACCCGGGAAAGACCATTAGGTATTTGTTTTGGTACTTGAAATGGGGCCTTGCTTACAGGGACGGGAGGAGTGTGTGTCATTTTGCACTATGCCAAAGCATCTCTGATAAGGCCAAGAGAGTACTCTCATCTAAAGTCACACGTATAGAAGAAGTTTGTTAAATGTTGCAGAAAATGGTGCCACCATTTACAAAAAGTGTTCTGTTTCAATCGAGAGTTCTAAGTTATTTCGGTTAATTTTTTTTAAAAGCCATAAAAAGCCATATTTTTAAAGTTCCCCGTAATCCAGTTGTGTCTAAAACCACAGCACGTAACGGAAAAGTAATTCTAAAATAAGTTCTTCTTTAATTACAGTTCTTACTGAATAGGAAGAGAACAGGCAGTCCTCAGCAATAATTCTTAAAATGTCTTTTTTCTTGCAGTTAGCTTTCCTCTTTCATTGTTGTTGTTTTAAAAATCTCTCTGCAAAACTTAACATTTTAAAAACTCTGCCCACCCCCCCAGCCTTAATCCATATGTCTCAAATCTTTATAATTTTCCCTAGTGCTGCTGGGCCCATCAAAGACTAAACAAATCTGTCTGGCTCTATCTTAATATATGCAAAGCTGAAAAACAATAAAAGGTCAAAGCCAGAGGTTTCCTTCTTGGGGAAGTTGAAAGATGAAAATATTCATGAACTAATGATTTTCTTCCCTGTGCACAGAGAAAAGCCTCTCAAACTCAGTGATTTCTGTTAAGTAGCTATCAGAGACTCACTGTACTGCAAACTCTGTAACTTGGCACAAATTAAGGGATGAAGATGAGTGAAGAAAAATGCATATTCTATTCCATAATGCTGTTTCTCTTCTTCTGACCCACCCACTTTCTTCTGAAATTCATGTGTCTTAATTTGACCGTATTAACGTCTTGGGAGTGAGTTGAACTGAACCAACGTGGCACAAATTATCGCCACTTACAGACTCTAAGAAAGATCCCTACTAGGAAGGAGAAGCCAGAACAAAACTTTAAAGAATAATAATACTTAAAGCATGCATATAATGCAAACACATTGTCTCTCCCATGTTCTAGAACAAAATAGCACAGAGTGGGTGGCTTATAAAGAACAGACATCTATTGGGCTCACAGTGCTGGAGGCTGGAAGTCCAGGCCCCTCTGAGGGTCACCCCATGGCGGGAGGTGTCACCTCGTGACCTGACCACCTCTGAAAGCCACACCTCCTACTAGGGTTACAGTGACCATTAAATTTCAACATGAATCTTTTGTGAGAACATTCAAACCATAGCACATGTTATTTCATAATAATTTATTTAACAGTGTGTGTGATGATAAACTGGATAATTATTGCTCCTTTGGGAGCACACTGAGGTTTATCTGAGTAACAGGATTCCAGCTTCCAGGTTGCTCATGAGAGTCAGTGAAGTCACCATTTCTATTGAAAAAAATAAAATTTTAATTCTTAGATTTGAACACTTGATTGGAGTAATATTAAAAACCGTTCAACTAGACTTGATTTTGAAAAAAAAAAAACCTGTAAAACTTATCTCTGATCAGTGGAATGACCACATAACCAGAATTTATTTTCTTTTAGGAAACTTGAAATTTTATTGTTTTTCTTATAATTTTCCTTGTGATTTTTTCCCCCTAGAATTAGAATGGGCTCCATCTTCTTCTGAATGCAAGCCAAGTGATAGATTCACTCTTTGCAGGTGCTTTGTTAACATTTTAGTGTTAACATTCTAGTGCTTTGTTAACATTTTAGTAAGAAAAGAGGAAAAAAAATAATAAAGAATGATTTGAAGTAATAAAAATGTATAATGTTTATAACATGAACTGACTTTGGTATCTAATAATTAGCATTCTAGAAAAAGATATATTACATACACCAATGTGCTTTCCTCAAAAAGGTTTTCTCTCATAGATATCTTTCAAATATGAGGGTATACATTATCAAACTTATAAACATATCTTTTTAATTTAAGGCATGAACTCCTTCCTAATAGGAAGTTAAGAGTGAAACATCAGTATTGATAATTAATGGACTCAATTGAGATTCAACTTCATCCCAAAATGTTTCTGATGATTGAGTCACTCTTCATTAAGAATATAAATGCAATTTTTGATATGGTGGTTTGAAAAATAACATGAGTAAGAATACATACTATGTAATTTTAGGCTTAAAAATTGTACTAGTATTCTGATAAATAGAATCTGGCCTTAGTGTTGATATCTGCTGGCTAGTTTACTAAGTCTCAGTTACTTCATTGGTAACATAGTCAATATTACCTGGCTTGTTTACTTGAAAATGAGAAATACATCAATCATGCAAACAGGAATCCGAGAATTAATTTCAGTGTTTTTTTTTTTTAATACAAATGGAATTCATTATTGTGCATTCACACTCTGATTTTTAATGTAAATCTTTTCACTCTCAGGGAATGAATAAACAATAGGCTCTTGGAACATGTGAGAAGGCTGTGCTCAATACTCCAGGCCAGTGGTTTCTGGGCTACTTTGATTTCACTGCGCCCAGAGCAATTCTGGTTATATATTGCTGTGACTCTTTCTCTGAGGCGATAGAATACCCCTCAAAAACAGTTATTATTATGGGGCACTTGGGTCTGTAAGAGGTTTGTAATTTTAACATATATGCTGTAAAACAGTTACCTGAGCCAAATTTAATTAAAAGTCTAATCACAAGACACTGTAGTAAATTAACCCCATTAAGAGTTATATGGAAATATTTCTCTAAGAGACCCAGTGCATTCAATACTTACTGAGCACAACCGAGATTTATGTGATGGAGGTAACCGCATCACAAGCCTCTCAGCCAACAGTGGTAAAGACTCCGTTTTGCATAACCGCACAGCACATCATTTCTTCCTTTGAATTGCTCTTCTGCAAGTGCAGTCATCTGGGAACCTCCCTTTGAACGTGTGTCTGTTCCTAATTGTTTGCAGGAAATTGCATTTGGGGTATAGTGGAAGCAAATTCTTTTTAATAAGCTCATGCAGGATTAAAAACATTAGAGGTCTATCAAAACTTGATCGAGATGGTTGAACCTCCATGCAGACTTTTAAAGGAAGGGGCAGGTGGTTCGGTGATCCCAGCGCCCCCTGGTGGTCATGTGCTGGATCGGCTTTCTGTCCGTGCCGGGACACAGAGAGAGAGATTAATGTGTGATATGGTTGGGAGATGAATATTTAATCCATTTTTTTATTTTTTAGACAGAGTCTCACTCTGTCACCTGGGCTAGAGTGCCGTGGCATCAGCCTAGCTCACAGAAATTTCAAACTCCTGGGCTCAAGAGATCCTCCTGCCTCAGCCTCCCAAGTAGCTGGGACTACAGGCATGCGCCACCATGCCTGGCTAATTTTTTTCTATATATTTTTAGTTGGCCAATTAATGTATTTCTATTTTTTTTTAGTAGAAACAGGGTCTCGCTCTTGCTCAGGCTGGTTTTGAACTTCTGACCTTGAGCAATCCTCCCGCCTCGGCCTCCCAGAGTGCTAGGATTATAGGCGTGAGCCACTGCGCCTGGCCTATTTAATCCATTTTTGACCAGCCTTCAGGATCTGGAGAAGAAATGCAATTAAGAGAAAAACTGCAGACAAATGACCTCCCTTCACTGCACACATGTGCCCCCAGTTTCCACGCAGAGCCTTCCTGCTGTGCGTGGGACACATGGGCGGGGACGTTTTGCAGACAGCTGTCGGTTGGCCAGGAGTCAAAGCATCTCAGACTTCTCTGTTGCTGTTAAACTCGAGATGGAGCATCCCCTAATTTCCTTTTTGTAGATAATTTTAGGAAATAACTAATAGAATTTCATCCATAGAATAAGAAGAGAGCAGCAGAGCTACCCACCTTGTCCCTGTCCTCGGGCTACTCCAGGCTCCCGGATGTGGGGGGCCCTGGAGCACCTGCTAGGTGTTGCTCACCTCACCAGCCACTGGGGAGAGAGAGTGAGTCAGAGGAGAAACCCACAAGCCCCCTCGCCTTGCAGGTTAAATTGTTGCATAGTTAAATAACACCAGCCCCCACCCACACAGCCCACGGATCTGTCGCCACGGCGTGTAAACCATGAGCACATGCACGAGGGACAAACTTGCTGCTGGCGCTTCAGCTCCCAGCTGACCCTGGCAAACAGCAGGTGCATCCTGGTCAGCGATGGTCACAGCTCGGCCTGCAGCACCTAGTGGCACTGCTCACAGTCCACGCGCAGACAGCGGAGTGGGCAGGCGTGTGCTTCCTTGCCCCCCACAGATAAGCCCGCTTGACGTTTGCCAAATGCAGATCATCCAAAGAGGGTGTTGGTCAGCGAAGATGAGAGTCCAGCAAAGACAGGAGAAGTGGTATCTCGGGACCTCAGGTACATGGAGTTGCAGGAGAGAGAGCTGACGGTGGGGACACTACCTCTCTGGGAGGAACCCTAGGTGGGCGAAGGCATGAGGAGATGGGGGGTCCCAGAAGGAGGGACTCCAGAAGAACACACTGAAGACACCTCTAGAGATGTTTCGGGATGTAGAAAGCACAACAGGTGTAAAAAGGTGGAGGCTGATCCAAGCTTCCCTGGCATCTCTCCCAGATCTTGCTGTATTTTCCCGACTCCTTGCAGATCTTCACGAATGTCCTCCACACACCCGGTTCCACCACGATTGCCGCCTCTTCCTCCCCCATTTCTCTTACCCCCTCTTCCTTCAAGTGGCTCCAGGTCTTCATAATCAGTATTGATCTTCTGCTGTGACTTCTTTCCCCTCCCCCAATCTCCAATATGTCCCATCTGAAAAACAAAATGCAGACATCAATATACATGTCACCAATTAGCTTGATACCTTCCCTTAGATTTCTTCATAGCAGGCACTGAGAAGATATGTTGGCCAGGAAACCAGAGCCCTGTCATTTCTCCATCTGTTTACCTTCCCTTGCCTGTTACCCACCGTTACCTGCTCTCACTACGTTCCCATTACTTGAATCTTCTCCCAAACAGACCCCCCCCAAATCCAGCCATCACCCTCTGCAACCTCTCAGACTGTAAGTGACAGCTCCTTGCCCAGACTGTGGCCCCAGGACCCCAGGCTGACTCTGCCCCGACCCGTCCACCCCAGGGCCGTGCACGATCTTGCATGATTGGCGGAGACCACACTCCACCTCGGACCTCCGGTGGTTTCATAGAGTCCGATGGTTTAAAAACCCTTTGTTTGCGGAAGACACACACATTTATTGTCCCCATACAGAGAATCTCCTTTGAGACTCCAGACTCGATGAGCAGCTGCCTGTGTACCGTCTCCATCCATGTCTCGTAGACGTCCTGAGCTCAACAGGGCCGAGACAGAATCTCTGGTCTCCCCCATCCCACAAACACACTCCTGCACCTCTCTTCAACTCGGTTGAAGGCAAGTCCACCCTTCTAGTCTCTTAGACAGAAACGGAGAAAGACTGCACAGGTTTTCCTTCGCACACAGCCCTGTTTTCTCTCCCATCAAAATGTGTCCAGAATCTGACACCCGCCCCCCGGCACCTGCTCCACAAGGCTCATCCCAGCACAGGCACCTCCAGTGTGGGCTGCTCGAGAAGCTGTCAGACTCTACGTTTCCCTGCACAGGTTGATTTCGACAGAGTGAGCAGAGTAGTTTCTTTAATCTGTAGGTGAGACAATGGCTTCACTAAAAATGCTGCACTGGTCTGTCACCCACGTAAGGCAGAAAATCCTCAGAAAAGCCTACAAAGCCCTCCCGGTGCTGGTCCTCTCCCGGCACCCCCCACCACATACCTGCTCTCTGCTATCAGCCCTCCCTCCTTCTCAGTCCTTCTCTCTCTGCTCTGGCCACAGGGGCGCCGGGATGCTCTCAGATGCTGAAGGCACTGCCGGGGAGGGGGGGTCTTGCTTGGCTGAGTCTTCCCTCAACTAGAATATAACTACCGTGTTTCCCCGAAAATAAGACAGAGTCTTATATTTATGTTTCCTCAAGAAGACATCCTAGGGCTTATTTTCAGGAGATGTGTTAGCTTCTTTAAATATGGTACAACCATCTACATTTATTCAAATAGAGTTAAGTCATCTTCTTCTGGAACATCATCATCACTCTCCAGAGCCCGAATTCCATCCTGAATTCCTTGCGACTCTATTTCCTTTAGAACCATTGGCCCCAATCTCTCATGTGGAGCACTAGAGCTCTCCCGGGGCAGATGAGAAGGGCTGCTCGTCTTCTTGACCGCTCCACGACAACATGCATGGGTTGTGCAGATGCGCTGCGCAGCCACGCCCATCACTAGAGCTTATTTGGGGGGGCAGGGCTTCTATTGCGCACATGCTTAGAAATCCTGCTAGGGCTTATTTTATGGGTAGGCCTTATTTTCAGGGAAATGTGGTAACTCCCTTCCCTCCTTCCAGGCTCTGCACAAACCTCCCCTCACCAATATCTTGCCCTACGCATCCTCCTCCCTCCAGATTGCATGCTCCTGATGCTCCTTTTCCTGCTCTACCTTTTTCCTTCCTCAATTGTATTTGTCGCCTCCTAACACTCCGCATCCTTTACTTTTTTATAACAGTAGCTGTTGATTCTCTGTCTCTCCTTATTACCATATAAACTCTGCGAAGGCAGGTCATTCGCTCAGTTGGCTGGTGCAGCCAACGTTCCTAGAAGCGTGTGCGGTACACTGTCGGTGCTAAATACGTGTTTGCTGGACTGTGGAACTGCATTGAGCAGGGAAGGCCTTACAGGCACAAGAGATGGTCGAACTGATGAATAATCAGGGGGACGTCATCCAAACAGGACGTCATCCAAATGACTGTCAAATTCACGTTTGCGCAAGTGCTAGACCGACACGTCGGGTGTCTGTGAAGCCGTAACAACACGAGGCCTTTGCACTCCAGGGCGAGACTGGGAGTACTCAGGGTCTTCAGCCAGAGCAACTTGGAGATTCCTGCTCTCGATGCCCAGCCCGGAGGTCGGTGGATCCGGCACCAGAACATCCATGCAGCAGCCTTCCTCACCACTGAGTAGCGACCGACTATCTGCAAGTAGAGGATGCAAAAGCGAAGCACTCACTCCTGATTTTGAAGTAAATTAACAAAACTCTACATTTTTTTGGCACAGAAGACTCACATGATACTGAATATAGAAGCAAATCAAAAATTCCTTTTTCAATTTGTATATATGACAGGTATACAAGTGCACATATATGCCAAATGGTATTAATATTATTATGCAATTGCTGTGAGGCACACGAGTTGTAGTATGTATTGTTTGGGGGAATACACACGCAGCCATACACATATGACAATTATGATGATATAAATAGGAACAGTCTATGGCTACTTCAGAGTGTGGGATCAGAGGGAGCACAGTGAAGTGGAAGGAAGAATGGCTTTATTGATAAGACTTTATTTATAGAAAGGCAAACAGGGTAAGGGATTAATATCATTGGTGTTAAAAAAATAAATGTCTGCCGTATTCTATATTACTGTCTATGTTGCATGTTTTATACTGGGCATTTAAAATACACCACTTACTTCATGCTTTCTGCAGGGTAAAATGAGCATTTTCTTTAAATATGTCCTATGTGCAAAATAAAGCAATTGAGATTTATGTTCAGTTTCTTGTGTGTCATCCTCTGCGATTTTATCTCCCTCACAATGGACCTGCGATAAGTAGTCACTTAAGAACTGTAAACCGACTCATTCAGGAAGAGCAGATTTCTGTTGCTATTTAGCTAAACTCTTTTGTTTCTTCTGGCTGCTGTGAATAGGGCAGCACACACGCCGCAGCCTCTGAATGTGAGTGCAGAGACTTTTAAGTTGCTCCGGAAAATATCTGTAAGACAATCTAATAGACGTGTGCTAAAGTGTCACGAAGAAGGGAGTTTACGTTATATGTTTCTGCCTTTGTGTTGGTATTTCAAACAATGCATTTTTTTCTGAAAGTAAACATTTTTAGAAACGAGGACAACCCAAGACCAGACGGTTGGTCGAGACACAAGCAGAACACCTGCTTTTGGTGCGGTGGCTTTGCAAGCCATGGGTGCTGCCACCATGTGGGCCAGCGGGAACAACACGGACAGACATGTGTTGTTAATATGCAAGCTGACTTCGATCAGCTTAGAGCAAAGCTTTGTCCAACCCTCCTTTGGTCTGTGAGCCTAGAAAGCTTCCAATGATGAAAGGATCTGGTCGCCTCTAAAGGAATTGTTTTACCCTTACATAGATGACTCAGCATCTAGCTCAGCCGTCTCTCTGCGTCCCTTTGTGCCATATCCTAATCTGTGCCAGTGCATTAATTTCTATTTGCTCATCCTTAACCACTTGGTGCGGCGCTCACGGCCGCGAACCTCGCCCGCAGCGGCCCGCAGCCCCAGGGCAGTCTGCGCTGGGCACTGACGGCGGTCCGTCTGCTCCTGCGTGGTGAGGAAGGCTTGAAGGCCCTGAACGCTTGTTTGACTCTACAGGCAGCTTCACTTGTCATGTAAATCAGAATAGGGTAACATGTACATATATGTTTTCATTATGCTATTTTCAAATGTTCACAATTTTATTTTGATAGATGAAAAATTAGAAAAGTCATGTCACGGCTGTCGGCTACAGTCGACGCTGGGCTCACCTGTGGCTGCCGGCTAAAGTCGACGCTGGGCTCACCTGTGGCTGCCGGCTGAAGTTGACGCTGGCACCGAAGGGGCTAACTGTCCAGGGTACTCTGGCGGGGTTTGTGCGAACCGAGCCTGTCTGCATCGCGGCATCCCGGCTCCGGGTCGGGACACGCTCGCCACGAGTGGCCGCCCCAGCTGTGCTCTCTCCCCGCAGCCTCCACTTCATCGTCTTCGACACGGAGACGGCCCACGACACCCTCAAGGTCTGGGACGGGCCGGCGGACGGCGACGTCCTGCTGAAGGAGTGGAGCGGCTCCGCCCTGCCCGAGGACACGCACAGCACCTTCAGCTCGCTCACCCTGCAGTTCGACAGCGACTTCTTCATCAGCAAGTCCGGCTTCTCCATCCAGTTCTCAAGTAGGTGGCCCGGCTTCGCTTCTTTTTCTGCACATCGCATCTTTCTCTTTTTTTATTTATTTCAGAATATTACGGGGTGCAGATGTTGAGGTTGCATATGTTGCCTTTGCCCCACCGAGTCAGAGCTTCACGCGGGTCCCTCCCCCAGACGGTGCGTGCCGCGTCCGTTCAGTGTGAATATGCCACCCCCTCTCCCCCCACCTGCCGACACCCGGAGAATGTTACTATTATATGTGCACTTAAGTGCTGATCAGTTAATACCAATTTTTTTTATTTCAGTATATTATGGGGGTACAGATGTTAAGGTTAAGTATATTGCCCTTGCCCCCCTTCCCTCATCGAGTCAGAGCTTCAAGTGTGACCATCCACCAAACGTTGCACATCGCACTCATTGTGTTTGCATATACTCATCCCCTCCTCCCCCCTCCTACCCGCCCAACACCCGATAGACGTTATTCCTATGTGTCCACTTAGGCGTTGATCAGTTAATACCAATTTGCTGGTGAGTGCATGCAGGGCTTGTTTTTCCATTCTTGTGAAGCTTCGCTTAATAGCATGGGCTCCAGCTCCATCCAGGAAAATCCAAGAGGTGCTATATCACCATTGTTTCTTAAAGCTGAATAGTACTCCATGGTCTACATATACCACATTTTATTAATCCACTCATCTATTGATGGGCACCTGGGTTGTTTCCACACCTTTGCAATTGTGAACTGTGCTGCTATAAACATTCTGGTGTAGGTGTCTTTTTCACAGAATGTCTTTTGCTGGTGGGACTGAATACTAGTGCAACCTCTGTAGAAAGTGACATGGAGATTCCTCAAAGAGCTAAAAGTAGAACTACTGTTTGATCCAGCAATCCTGTTATCGGGCATCTATGCACATCAAATCTTTGCTGCAAACACAGAACTCTATTTGTGTTCTTAATTACAACCCTCACGTGGATGTAATTTTTGTTGAGTATAATTTGAAGTTTGGAAAATGCACATTGTAGGGGGAGAAGAGATTTCTTTTCTCACCTTTCCCTGGGTTTGTGGCTGAGGCCATAAACAGAAGGCAGATTAACAAGAGAAAAGTGTAAACAAGTGTATGAGATGTAAATTTGCATGATATGGAAGACTTCAGAAATGAACACGCAAAGAAAGAGGAGGGACTGTGTGTTCGTGGACAGCTGTGCGGAGGTACGGCTGGAGGGCCAGAGGGCACGGTCTCATCTTAGCGAGGCTGTTTGCTCAGACTCCTCTCTAGGTCTCCATCCCTCCCCTCTGGATACAGGGAAGGCCCCCCTGGAGTGGAGGTTTCCTAATCTGGTTCAGAGGAAGCTCAGGGGATTCTTTTACGGTGCTGCAGGGCAGCAGGGTCGAGGTGAGAGTGACCATCGTGTTTCTGTGGTTTCCTCAAAAGCCAGGGCTTTATTTTGGAGTAATGCACCCTGAACCCGCGAGCATCAAAGGAATGGTCGGTCTCAGCAGATTCCGTTCATTATAAGGTAGGGAGAGGCAAGGACTATGTCAGGTTTCAGTCTGAGCCTGTCAGTTCTTGGTGCACTCATGGCTGAAGAATGACCAGATGCATCAAAGTAAGGCAAGCACAAGAATGAGGTTTATTGAGGAGAGAGAGATGGGATTTTAGGGCAAGAACAAGAAACAGGTTCACAGAGTGTGATATGTACATTGCAGATGACGACCGACTGGCTGTCTCAGCAAAGGGACAGCAAAAGGAATGGCATAAAAAGGGCCTGGTGATGTTCTGGGTCTTGTTCTATAGTGCCCAGATGGGGACCTCCCTGTGGCTCAGACGTCACCGTGGAACCACTTTCACTGGACAGTTGGGAGTTGCAAATGGGTTGTTCTGGGTCGAGTTCCGACTCTACGGTACCTGTGCGGCTTGGCCCTCGGGCTGGAGGGTCCTCTGCATTCTTTTTCAGCTGGGCGCTGTGCTCACAGTCAGATTTGTAGGGTGTTCCCTCCTCCCCAGCCATGGCAGTCGCCCAGCGGAGAATCAGGGTGGGGCAGGATCAAGACGGGGGGCTGCCTAGGACCCACCTTTGTCCTCCTTCCCAGGTGGGGCGATCACACCTCGGCAACAGCGCCCACTTTCGCCCCCGGGAGACCTGGAATCCCTCCCGATCTGCCCACCTTACAGATCTACTTTGTTAATGAGAAAACAATATGCCCTTAAAGGTTTTAATGAATCAGTGCATATCTACACTTGGGTGTAAGAAAGATGTGGGTCTCTAAAAGGAACATAAGACGTGTCTTCAGGGACCCTGCTAACCTGGCTGCAGTTCCAGGTTCCCCAGTCGCCCTGGGTGACTCTGCGTGGCTGGTGGAGTCCCTGGGCCGCCAGCCTGCTAAGCAGACCCACTGTGACTTGTCTGCTCCCAACCCCCGCGCAGAAGCGCCCTGCATTACCCCCACCTCCTGGCTGAGGTTTCAAGCGGCTGATAGAAGAGAGTAGCCTCTGCCGGATGATGAGGGGGAGCCACACTTGCACCCCTGAACTGTCATCTCCTAGAGACGGGGCCCATTCTGGCTGTCCAGCCATTTTTAATGAATGATTTCCTAAGAAGGAAGCGCGGAGCTATTTTGTGGCAGTTCAACCTTTTAGCGCCCTTTCAGATGGGCACCGTACGGAGGTGCCGGATAATTCTGTAGCACACAGGGTCAGCTGTCGTCAGAAAACACGCGGAATCTGCACACAAACACATTCAGACTCACTCTATCTCTTGGTAGGTCACTAGTGAACCGTATTTAGGATTTACATAAGAAAATTGACTTGGGTCAATTTAATGCTCTAAAAGGTTGCTAATAAAATTGAGGTTATGGTCTGCACGGTTTTTTTTGTTTTTTTTTTTTTACCTCTGGTTTCTCTGAAGCGGTCATCTGCAGACATGTGCCTGTGGAATAGGATTTGTACGTGTGATAAAATTTCCACTGGTCTTCGGCAAAAATATCAAAGTCGGTGTGCTATAGCTATCCTGCCTCGGGGGAGAAAAAAAATTGTCCTTTATTTTACGATCATATCCCTTTTGCCTTTTGTTGTGACATAAGATTTCCTTTGTGTTCAGAAATGGTGGCAGGACGCAACGGTAGATTTGTGACTTGTCCTTTATTTGGCAAAACGAAAAGTTAATAAGGTTACGCGGTGGTCATGAGGTTAGGCTCATTTCTCTCCCCCTTTCCATTTCTATATTCTCCTGGCATATTTTTTTATAGGTTTTATATTTTAGTTATAGGCTCACCACAAAATTGAGTGGAAGGAATTCACCGTAAAATTGAAAGTACAGAGAGTTCCCACGTAGTCCCCAGTGTCACAGGCATAGCCGCCAGCATCAGCACCCCAGAGTGGTGCGTTGGTTACAGTCTGAGAACCTGTATCTACACGCCATTGTCACCAAAGTGCACAGTGTCTTCAGGGCTCACTCTTGATGTTGCACATCCCATGGGTTTGGACAAGTGCGTGATGACCTGTGTCCACCACTGCAGTGTCACACAGAGTCCTTGCACAGCCCTAAGCGTCCCCTGTGCTCCACCTGCTCATCTCCCACAGTAATAGGTATTCAGTCGTCCTCCATGTCTTTTCATAGCTTGAAGGATCACTTCCTTTTAGCACTGAATAATATTCTATTATCAGGATGCACCACAGTGTGTTTTTCCATTTACTTACTGGAGGACATCGTGCATGCTTCCAGGTTCTGGCTATTATGAATAAAGCTGCTACAGATATCCACATGCAGGATTCTGCACAGGGTGTAAGTCTTCAGTGCATCTGGGTAAATACCAAATGACAGCAACACCAGGGAATATGGCCAGAGTATGTATCCTTAGTTGTATTCCTGGCCTTTTAAAAATCTTCCCTTTAAAAAAATAATTGTTGTGGGAACCCAGAAATCTTTTCTTTTTCTGTATGTGATTTTTTTTCTTGATTCTTTCTTTTCAGAGGGCATCATCCTAATTTGGGTTTAAAAAAGTAAGACCCTTTATTATAATTATTGGAGGAACATAGACATTTTTCTTCTCCTCCTATAATTAGTTAATATATTAATGTTCAGGAAGTCATAAATGTGAACACACCCATAAAAGCTCCTATAGAAGTGAAAGTCCCTTAATTTTCTTTCATCCAGTTTTTCAAGTATGTTAATTGGAACCATATAAAATTGTCATTTTTATAGGTTAAAAAAAATGATTGAATGTTGGCAATTCCATAAGGTTTAATGTAGCACTGGGATGTGATCCATCCCTCGTGCCCCACCCCCCGGCCCTTACTAGTTAATGAATCCCAAAGTCATACTTTGGGAAATTTCATTTTAGGAGAGAGAATAGAATGTTGACTCTGAGGCTGTTTAATGGATGTTTTTTTGCAAGACTTGTCTTTAAAAGTTTATTGGAAGGAAAAAAACACGATATAAAAAGCATCACCCAGACTGTGACTCAGGAAATTTGGGTTTCTATCTTGACGTCTTATGATTAGAGACTCACCTTTCATCTCTTCCGTTATTGCTTTATTTATGAAATGAAGATATGTATTGATTTTCACGGACATTTCCATTTTCCCAAGCTCTACCTTCTGTGCCATAAGTCTTCCCTCCACTGCCCAGATCTGCTTTCTTCTCCCTGATCTGCCTGTGGCTATGGGGGCAACCGTGTGGACTCCTCTTATTTAGGGCTGTCCCCATGGGGAGCTTCAGCTAACGCTGAGTTTCTGGGGCAAGACGGGGTCCAGAAACTGAGCCTCTCGCTCCCCGGCTGCCGGTTCCCAGTGCCGTCAGCTATGCCCTTCTATCAAACCCACCGTTTTGCTTAACCCGCCAACACCCCACCCCTCCTTGCAGATTTCCAAAGCAACTGCAGGTAACCTCCCTTCTTCTGGAGTTTCCAACTCCACCTTCGTAGAGAAACTCCTCCAATAATCCTGCCGCAGGTGCACCGTGTGTGTGTCTCGTGTTGGGTCCTGCAGGCTGCAACTCCATGAAGAACATCAGCAAATGTGCGGCACAG